GATTTTATATCTTTGAAAAAACAATAATTTTAACCTTGCGTAAGTATTTGTCCTTGCTCGAGGCAAAAGACTTCCGGTAAAGAAATGACATTGTTTGCTACATCCGTTCACACAGCAATATTTGCGTCATTCTATCTGGGTTAAGAATATTATCTTGCATGCAGTACGTTAAGAATATTATCTTGCATGCAGTACGTTAAGAATATTATCTTGCATGCAGTACGTTAAGAATATTATCTTGCATGCAGTACGTTAAGAATATTATCTTGCATGCAGTACGTTAAGAATATTATCTTGCATGCAGTACGTTAAGAATATTATCTTGCATGCGGTACGTTAAGAATATTAGAATAGTGTCTTGCATGCAATACATTAAGAATATTATTTTGCATGCAATATGTAAAGAATATTACGTGGAGTATGTTAAGAATATTATCTTACGTGCAGTATTTTAGGAATATTATCTTGCATGAATTATGTTAAGACTATTATATAGCATGCAATACTTTGAATAATATGAGTTATATACTGTTGGGTGAGGTCAGTAACTGGATGGAGAGTCATTAAGAGAGTAATATGGTTGGAATATATGAAGGTGATAGTATATTATGTTTATTTGAGGGCTGGTAGAGCCAAGCCTACAATATATGAACCAGTGGTGTACAGTGTGCAGAAAAAAAAACACTAATTCGATATGGTTTAAATCGTGTGCCCAAAGCTAGTAAGTCTAAGATCCCAATGGAAATAAATTATTTTCAATTTTTTGGGGTTATGCTAGGTAATTTACACTGTGTATGATAATTGTACTTATGTGTACCTGTGCCTAAATATGTTTACTTCCTGACTTATTTATAAAAGATGAAAAGAGAGGGGAGGAGACGAGAGAGAGATAGAGTGAGAGAGAGAGAGTGAGAGAGGAGAGGAGAGAGCGAGACGAGGAGAGAGGAGGGGAAAAGAGATGAGAGAGAGAGAGAGAGAGATCAGCTTGGGTTTTGGCTTTCGTTGTAGAGAGGCTGCTACTGCTAAGTACAAAGCATGGCGAAGGTATTAAAAGAATCCTTACCACCTATAACAGGGAAATTGCACATGCAAGCCTGTAGGGATTGGGTGATGTTCAAAAGTGAGCCATTGCTAAATGGGGAGGTGGACACTAAAAAGAAAGTTTAGCATCAGGTAGGGTAGGCTCCAAAAACCTGGTGGTCCTGGTCAAGGACAGAAAAGGTTATCTGCCTGATAAACTTATTCCCCCTCTAAATCGACAGGATGGGACACCTTTTACTAGTAGTAAGAGAGGCGGACTCTTTGCTGAACCTTTGCTACAAAAAGGCAAGTTCCTGATCCAGCCAGGGCCCTCCTTGGCTAGTGCAAGAACTGTGTCAAAAGTCAGTGGTGACAATAAGGCAGGGGAGGTGCATTTCCTATTTAAAAATCGCTTTGCCCAAAAAAAGGCTGGGGGCCCAGACAAGTTGACCCCCAAGATTGTTGAAAAGATGTGAGCCCAGTGCGCACCTTAACTCGTCTTTCAGCACTGCTATTTCAGTGTAAAGGGCCCCTCTTAGAAAGAGGCGATGTATCCCTGTTCAAAAAAAAGAGCAGAGCAGAAATCAAAAACTACGTCCGTGTACCCTGCAATCATGGTAAGATCCTTGAGAATAATCTCAAAGAAAAAATGACAGAGTTTTTGATCCCTCACTATTTGTGATCGTCAATTGGTTTCGGGAAAAGGTTCTCTGCTTTGATTGTTTTTAAACCTCCCCACTAAGTGGCACCAGTCATGGTGAATCCAAAGTAGGTGTGGGGGCCTGGTATTGCGGCGCTTTCCCCCCGGGTTGGCACCGGGGCCCTTAGCAAAACTTCAAGCAGGGGGAATGCAGGCTTACGCTAGTTCCTCAGGGGACTCCCTTCATGGTAGATCTCAAAGTGAGTTCTAGGGAAACGGAATCAGAAACACCCATTGGGGAATTTTCCCAAAAGGGAAAGCGTGCTGGGTCCCTTGTTATGGAATGTCTACTTTAAGACTTCTTCATTACCCAGATCAATGCATAGCAGACGACTGTACACTGACATTCACTTATAAGAGAAGAAATGCCCCTTCTTAAGCTACATCAATCACCAGCTGAGAGCTATATCAGCTTGGGGAAATAGATGGCAAGTAACATTTGCACCTGAGAAAACGCAAATGATGATCGTCTCTAGGCACCATGATGGTAATGCTGGTGCAGTAGTAAGGATGAATGGGAGGATGTTGGCACCTGGAGAAGAAGTTGATATCCTTGGGGTGAAATTTGACTCCAAACTAACCATGAAGAACCATGTTGTAAATCTTGCAAACAAGGCAGCCAGGAAGCTTACATCACTTCGCCGTATCTCCATCTGCTTGACAGTAGGGGTTGCAAGATCCTGTACGAGGCACAAGTACGCTCGCACCTTGAGTATGCTCCATTTTCTTGGTTTGCCTGCCCCCCCTCTCATCTGCGATGCTTGACAGAGTAGAGAACAG